CGGATAAATGTAAATTCGAAACGGGAGAAACCGGATTTAAATTCGAATGCAAATATCGGTTCTAAATTCTAATTGTGAAAAACAAAAAAGTTAGCTAAAGATCTTTTAAAAGATTTATATATTTAATTTAAACAAGATTTAGTATTTTCAGAAAAGATTCAAGAAATATTACCTATCTTGATTGAAAAAGTTAATGATATATTTGCAAAGTTATAGAGTAGTAATCAATTATCAACACCAGTAAAAAATAATGAGATTTTGTGGTACTTGAATTATCCTAATGAACCAACAACTACAGATCCTTTATTATGATGGCAGGAACATATGGCAAGTTATCCTATTTTATTTTTATCCAAATTATCTCAAAAGTTTCTTTCAATTCCTGCTACATCTGAATGTCTCTTTTCTGATGCAGGTAATCATGTTTCTTCAAAAAGAACATGATTGTCTCCAGATTTAGTAAATTGTATGTTATTTTAAAATCGTAATAATGCTTATTTTAATATATTTTCTCCTTTAGAATCTAATTAGTTTCATATAATAATGGAATTTCTTAGGATTTATGTATATGAACATTTAAAAAAATGGTTTTTATAGCCTTAAATATAAATTCTCTTAATAATTATGTATTTTAAAATACTTAAATGTAGGACTTCGTTAATCTCGCAAAAAAGTTTTATAGTAATGACGAAGTATTTTCCAAAATTGAATTTCTTGTACTTTATTTAAAATGTATAAATATAATGCAATACATTAAAAAATATTATCAGTTAATTAAATTATAATAAAAATAAATAAAAAAATTTATATTCGAATGAAACAAAGGAATTGGATTTATTATATACGAATGAAACGAAGGAACCGGATTTATTATATCCGGATAAATGTAAATTCGAAACGGGAGAAACCGGATTTAAATTCGAATGCAAATATCGGTTCTAAATTCTAATTGTGCACGTATTGATTGGAATATTGGGTCCCCAATGATCAATTTCCGTAGTCCTATGGTTCTTGACTTTGAGGTATGGATCGTTGTTCTGTCGAATCCTGACCAAGCGATTTCTGTCCCTTTTGTTTTGGAGAGCTATGACTGATGCTCCAAAAGAGACTGATATTATTCTTTGGCGATTGGCCTTCCCAAAACACATTCAACGCTGTTGGACGTCTTAGTGGAGTTGCGGCCGACTCATCCAGCTTGCTAACTGATCCAGGTGTTGACA